TATATATGTATCACAGCGTACATTGCCAAATCGTGAACGGTATTGGTATTCGCTGTTGGTATATTGCATATTGGCATATGCATACTGGCATATATATACGCATATTGGTATATGCTACAGTATTGGTATTCGCAATGTATACATTGTGAATGTTATGATCTACATCCGTTTTTTGATTATCTAAAGCACCCGCATCATATAGGCCTAGTATCATATAAACAAATATCGCATCATCACTGCTCCTCTATGCGAGGGAAAACGCGCTCATGTGAAATTATTTAAGTCTGTATTGCTCTAGTTGGGGGCGGGCGTCCTTAACTCGTATGTATACACGTGCGTGGGTGATCGATATTTGCATTTACATATCGGTTACTGTAGGATAATAACATTTGGTATCGAATTACGTTCATCTCTTGTCAATGCAATCGTCCATGTTGGAACTGAGCAATAAATAAATGAACGTCGCTACGATTCAGAAATTTATCGCGAGGAAGGTGCAGCAAAATCTTTAACGAACATAAAACATGCTAAAGTAATAAAGGTATTATGTTATGTATCCCTCACTATTTGATTTTTCTTCGTTGTGGATGGTATTTCCACGCGAAGAATGTGTCAGAAGATCTCGCGAATTCGTTGAGTGTTCTTTGATACACCGGTCTATGCTAATAAGAGGTTTACATCTGTTGTTTTATGTTTGGAGAAAACGAATAATTGGTGATAGGGAGACAACTATTAATATTCAATACCACTTGCTGTAACTAGAATGGGAAATATAGGCTAGCATTTACTATCGAAATAAGTAAAGGGGATCGTTGGGAATAAAAGTATATATTAAATTGACCTCTCAAATTTTATTAAATTATAAATCTGTTTAAAATAACTGTGGAAGGCGACCGCCTAATATTTATGCCTCCATTTCAACATTTCATTGGCTGACAAAACAGGCTCCTAAAACTATTGGGAGGAGTACCAGAGATGTTACAAGACTTGTAAGATTTTGTCGATCGTTTTGCTATTTAAAATATATAATTAACATATTTATTACTATATGTTTGCTTTAATCACCGACCTAAAATATCTAGATGTTCACCCTTTATTTAAACTTATTTACTTCATGTTATATGTTTACCGAATGAATATCAAGAAAACTAAAAGAAGGAACGAAGAAAGGAATGAAACAAGAAAAGACCCATTCTACGCGATGTATTTGTTTGCAGAATGCAGTAACATACTGTGATTGCAATTCATTTAGAAATTAAGATAATGTAAATTTATATGGTACATAAATATTTCTCTGCCATAATTTATTGATTGTATTTACATCTTATATTGCGTTACGAAAAGTCAGGGGTCAGCCATTATATATATGTAGTTTATAAGCGTAATTTCGGGCGGTGAAAGTTTGATACACTACAGCCCGTATTGTAATATTTTAAATATATACGTTTTGTACTATATTTGAATATTATGAATAAATTCCGTCTCATGGTTGTAAAACAGTGTTTATTAGTTGTTAATTTGTTTGTGTTTATTAATTTAGACACGCGATTATACATTTACCATGCAAATTATACACATTATACGTGGTCAATATGAGTCCTAAATACTATGTAAAAGCACGGGAAACATCTTTTGCGTGTAATTTTATTTTATAATAACATAACAAAACGTTCAATCTAGTCTTATATCAAGCTTATGTGTTTATACTACAGACAATAGGACGTAAACCAACGTGTTGAAATTATACTTGCATCTAAACCAATATTGTTTGAATTTATTAATAATTTATTAAAATATTATAATACCAACGTTCATGCTCATTCACAAGTGCCAACACATTACTCATCATGTTGATAGTCAAAACATTACATATATCTTGTTAGTCAACACATTACATATCACGTTGTTACTCAACACATTACTTATCATGTTGTAGGTTAACACATTACTTATCATGTTGTTAGTCAACACATTACTTATCATGTTGTTAGTCAACACATTACTTATCATGTTGTTACTCAACACATTACTTATCATGTTGTTAGTCAACACATTACTTATCATGTTTGCTTAGTCAACTGACAATACGTATGCACAGTTGTTAGTCAACACATTACTTATCATATTGTTTAGTCAACACATTACTTATCAGTTGTAGTCAACACCTTACTGTATCATTTTTAGTCAAACATTACTTTCATGTTGTTACTCAACAACATTATTCTTATCATCGTTTGTTAGTGCAACAATTACCTTATTCCATGTTGTTAGTCAAGCACATTACTTTATCAACGTTGTTAGTCAAGCGATCATACTTATCAGTTGTTAGATCTAACAACATTACTTGGATCAGCGTTGTTATCCGGAAGCACATTACTAATGCATCGTCTGTTAGTCAACACATTAGCTTATCATGTCTGTTTGTCAACACATTCTTATCCTGTTTGTTAGTCAAACACATTACTTATCCATGTTGTTAGTCAACACAATTACTTAATCATTGTTGTTTAGTTTAACACATTACTTATCATGTTGTTACTCAACACATTACTTATCATGTTGTTAGTCAACACATTACTTATCATGTTGTTAGTCAACACATTATTTATTGTGTTGTTGGTATGTTTGTTTATCCTGTTTTTTAAACTGTTCAAGTAATTGTTTTCTAAAGTACGTGGATTTTCAACACAAATATACGCAGTTAGCTTCGGAAAAGACCATGGCTTTATATGCGTACTCCACTCTCTGTTTTAATGCCGATAGGGTGTGCAAATGTGTTTATATATTTATATATACATAGTTTAATATTAAGGAAACTATGTATATCAGGAGTGTATAATAGGGATCCCTATTATACACTCCTGATGTATATACAAATATAAAAACACACTTGTACACCCTAGATCGGAATTAATACAGAGGGTGTGGAGGACCCATATAGAGCCATTGCCTTTTCCGAAGCTAACTGCATTATATTTGTGTTGTAAATCCACCTAGGCCTACGTTAGAAAACATTTACTTGAAGCGGGCAAACATTCCTATATAGCACTAGACAAACACCGAGCCCTCGACCCTATGTCTTATACTATACTGACATCCACCCAGACGGATTTATTTCTCTATTAGAGGGGAGCAGTTCAGTGGTAGATGTAACAGTGCTTGGCAGGACGGAAAGAATATTGTATTGGGCATAAGGATCATTGTAAGGAAGAAACCCCCGTTAGACCGAATAGTGTCTGATAGAGAGAAACAACAATTGCAAGCTTAAAAGCAGAGGCGACTAGGTGTGAGATGGAGCTTCCACCCCCGTATACTCTGTAGTCATTCTCAACAAGCGCTTGCCCTACCCTCTTAAATTCACACTCCCAACTACATCGCTCAAGCTTCCTGTCCGACTTCTTTCTAGCGTGCGGGTGAGCGCTGCCTCTTTCTCTCTCTCTCTCTCTCTCTCTCTCTCTCTCTCTCTCTCTCTCTCTCTCCCTCTCTCTCTTTCTATCTATCGATCTATCTATCTATTTATTTATCTATCTATCTATCTATCTATCTATCTATCTATCTATCTATCTATCT